TACCGTGTAGGAAACTGTGGCTAATTTTGCCTCACTGGAGGAAATGTTTTTCCTGACCCCAAAAGGTAGGTGGGACAAGTTTCCTCAATCAATATTTTTCCATATTGTCCTTTAAAATATAAAACTCAAACCTATAGAGGTATGCAACCGTTCTACAAATCTAAATCTATAGGCAGATTAAAGCGGGTGAATTAAAGCAATAAATTCAAATTAAAAGAAAAAATTCCATAGCCCTTTTGGCCATACTTCTCCTGTGGATCAAAGGAGTGCACTTAGTTCTGCACTCCTGTGTCCAAGATTCAGCCAACAGCAGGTTAAAGTTTGCTGTTGGTGGATATCACAGAGCCGGTCCAGGCTCTGTAGAGATTGCGCTGAGGGGCAAAGCACAGACCAGTGACTAAAATTCACTGCTCTTTGCTCAGAGCAGACCCAAAAACTGAGCAATCAGCGGTCTTTGATCGCTCAGTTCATGGTGTAGAGCCAGCAGGGGATAGCTGCAGCAGATTGATCTTTGCGCGTATTCCCATACTTCTCTTTAACCCCCCCGGGCGGTATTCCCGAGTGTAGCTCGGGTTTAACTTTCAGTACCAGAAGCGGTAACCCCGAGCTACACTCGGGATTACCCTGCAGCATTGCTCTGGGATCCCTCCAGCACTTACCTTGTCCTGCGGGCCCACGATGTCCTCTCTGCTGCTTCCCCAGCCATGTCCTCTGGCCGATGCCGGCATCCAGGTTCCGTTCTCTGTGAGCGTCGGGACGTATGGGGGATGGAACCGGCGGGAATTTAAAAAATGTAAAAATTTGACATTCACTCAATACACTAAAATCTGATAGTATTACATTACTGTATCAAACCATATCACATTTTGTCCCGAGTGCTTTTGTCCTGTGCCCTTCCTGCATTTTTACCATTCTTTCTGCCTGGAAACTGAGAAATGTCCATGGCATCCAAAATGTGTCCCTTTTTAGGTCAAAAGCAGTTTTAGACCAGCTAAAAAACAGCAATAGTGAATTAGAATCACTTGCAGAATTGAGTGATAATGATTCGTGGGGAGTTTCATCATCAGACACTGAAAATGATTTTGCGACTAAGCTCAGTGATGTGCGAACTTGGCGCTATATTTCAAATTTCAGTGTTTTTGGTTTGATTACATTATTGATTTACCTTTATTATCATATTATTTTTTATTATCATTTATTATATTATAAATTATGATTTCACGTTTAAAATTTTATCATACCCGGGATGTTTACTAGACTCTTGTTCGGACAGATTTCAGTGAGTTATTCCTAAGAACTACAGGCCTACAATAAAAAAAACAACATATTTCCATTGAAAACAATGTACCTCTTTGAGCACAGAAATAATGACATAATCAGACCACTAGGGAGGTCAAATACTGTTTTATGACATTATCTTAAATCTGTACTTTTATGAAGTATCTATAAACATACGAACAAAAATAAGCCTGGCAGTGGGTGCACCAACATTTTGAGCTAGCCAGATCTCGCTGGACTGCACATTGCCATAATACTGATATTTCAGTCAACCTGGCCTAGAAAGGAGGTGTTTATGAAGGCCTAATAGACAAATTGAATTTTCAGAATTATCTGCCAAAGAGTGTGTTTTAGGTCCAGCTCCTTTTTGTGGGTCATACACCTCTGCCAAGTAGGATAACATGACTTTCACAGAGACAAGAATAATGTGGTATCCTCTAGCCTACTAATTGGAGGACAACTGGTATCCGCTCTGCTCACTTTGTTTTCTCCTCCTGTCAGCATGTTATTTGTCAGGAAATGTGCATACAACAGCACCTGATTAGCTTCTATTATTATGCTCCACTTCTAAACTGAATGGCGCTATGTATGGAATGAAAGAGGTTGGTTTCAGCTTTAACACCCAATTGAACCTTCTTTATTACTATATTGCAGAGGTAAAAAGATTGTGACAGGTAAAACCGTGCATACACATGTATTTCATTAGCTGGTTGGTTGGGGGTTTGCTTTAATTAAAACCATTAATAATTACATATATGGTACACTGCATTGCTGTGTTTTTTTTTTTTTTTTTTCTGTGTCTGCATTCTAACAAGCCTCTCTTAAACTAAAATGCTAAAGGTTTCTCTGACTTCTGTCACCATGGTACTACATACTGTTATATATTTATTATATTACCGAGGACAAATACATCAACATAGCAGTATACACATTTAAGTATAAAGTTACATAATATTTCAAGCTCTCCAGGGCAAAGGCCCATTTAAAACCTTGTGTTCCTATACATAATTGTGACTTAATGCTTTTGTGCCTGTACTGGAAGGTGCTGCTTACACATTTTGTAAGGACATCCATTTGCTGTTATGGGAGCATCTACACTGGAATTTGTTATATCATTAACTTCTTACTGTAACCTGCGCTGTGGAGAAGCAAAAAGACAGTGCTAGCATTTTAAGGGGAAAACGTCCCTGAGAAGGCTTTTGAAAAATTGCAACTATTAGTTACAGACATCTCCAAAATACCTCATGAAACGATTGTCAAAGTGCCATAAATCATAGGCATAGGAGACAACAATCCGATCTTTAAAATTCCATTGCATGGAAATTTTAAGATGCTTCTAGTCCCATTGCACCTGGAAACAAAGCACACAAGGATTTATATTTCAGCTGTATAGTGGAGGCTGGTACAGATCTGCAGCACCATATCAACAGTTGCAGTTATTTCTGTTAACCACTTGTCTACCAGGCACTTTTACCCCCTTTTATGCCCAGGTGAATTTTCAGCTTTCAGTGCTCTCACACTTAGAATGTCAATTGTGCTGTCATGCAACCCTGTACCCATATGAAATGTTTCTTTTTTTTTTCTTTTTTTTTTTTCTTGTGGTATTTAATCACCACTGGGTGTTTTTTATTAATTTTTTTTTTTTTTTGCACTATAAATGAAAAAAAAAAGCAAAAAATTTGAAGAAAAAATAATTTTCTTTGTTTCGATTATAAAATTTTGCAAACAGGTAATTTTTCTTCACTGATGTGCGTTGATGAGGCTGCACTGATAGGCAGCACTGATGAGGTGGCACTAGTGGGCATTGATGAGGAGGCACTGATGATGCTGCACTAATATGCAGCAATGATGGGCACTGGCGACACAGACTGGTGGCAATGCTGAGTGCTGACTGGCCTTTTGCCTCATCATGTGATTAGCTGTGTCCATAGGACACAGAGATCACCCCAGATGCTTGCCCCTGGGGGAGGCGTGGGAAAGCGCATTCTGAGAGGACTCCCATCCCACAGAACTGGACACCCACACTGTAGTCATCAGTTGGCTATAGCACGGTTGGCAAGTGGTTAATGAGCAAAGACAAGTCTAAAGCCGTAGAGGACATTTAAAACAAAAAATGCAAACGAGCTGTATTTTCTTTTTACCACTTTCTGCCAGCCATACTCTTGTGGTATCTCAGCAGGTGGGCTTTAACGCCAAGCAGCCGCTTATAAAAATGTCCCTACGTAAACACTTTACTGTGGAGAGTGTGCTCCTTGCGTGTTCCCAGCACAGTAACGAGCTGGTACCGGAAAGCTCCTGATAGATACATGTTATCTGGAGCTTTCCAGTCATGTGACTGCCAATCACAGTGGTCACATGTGCAGAATTCCTGACTCCCTTTCCTGGCATTGAGTTCCTGTTAAAGGGTGGGGAGGCAGTGGCTGGAAAGGGTTTTAGTGCCTGCCTGTACTGTACACTGAGCTGTGAATAGGAAGCTCAGTGTAAAGAATTTTGGCCATGCTGAGTGACTGAACTCTGAGCATGTGCGGGAGTGATGTCATCTTGGCCTGGCCAATGCATACGTACAGGGATAAATGCAATGCCTGGAAGTTACCAGGTCGAAGAGGTCAGCTGCCGGCAGGGAACTCCAGGGGATCACAGTGCTGGAGAACAGGTTAGTATAGCTACACTTTCAAGTATAAATCTAACCAAAACTTTTTTGGAGGTTTGGACAGAGTGATGAGTGGGGGAACTACTGCTCTCCAAGGTTCCTGTCCTAGAGGTAATCACAGGTAGCAAAAGGAAAATCTGTAAAAACACAAATAGAAATATTTTTTTTAAATCAAAAATATGGAAAGACTAGAGTTAATATCAGCTTTTTATTGTCATCTGTGTCCCTGCTGCACAGTTTTCTTTATTGTGATGATTGCTGGCCACGTAACCAGGCACAAATAACAGCAGACGCCCACAGCCTGTCCTTGCAGTGTACATGCTCAGCAGCTGTTGCTATCCCCATGCAGCTGTCAATCTCCGCAATAGGAATCACTAGATTTCCCCTTGCTGGCATTTGCAACATTGCAAAATGCCCATGTGAGTGGTGCCTTAGGTTGTATGTTTTAGGTGGAATGCATTAAAAATGTTTGGCTTTGGTGAGCTCACATAAAAATTCTTTTTATAGAGTTCTATGGTAATGGAATGTAGCACCCTTCTAGTTAGAAGTTAGATGCTAGATTAGGTACATTTTGGCTCACTGTACCAAGGGAGGCTGGAATTCTGTGGTGGTTTATAGTTAAATGTTAGGTGTAGGTAAATTTTGTTTAGCTCACTGTAACCAGTGGATCTGGGTTTGAATAATTTTGGTTTGGTCTGTGTTCCAGAGCCTGTATGATTTTGTTTCTCCCTGTTCACCTGGAGGAGCTCCGGGAAATAGATGTGTGAGCATAATAATCAGCAGCTTATTATTTATGTAGCCCCAGCCATTCTCTGGGAGAGTCGGCCTAGAGCAGTGATGGCGAACCTTTTTGAGCCCGAGTGCCCAAACTGCAACCCAAAACCAACTTATTTCTTTCAAAGTGCCAACACTGCAATGAAACCTGAATATCGAGATTTTGGTTTAGAAAAAAAAACTCGTACAGTAGTGCAAACTAATTAACAGTACAGGGATGACCAGAGACTGCGGACAGTACAGGGATGACCAGAGACTGCGGACACAGTACAGGGATGACCAGAGACTGCAGACACAGTACAGGGATGACCAGAGACTGCGGACACAGTACAGGGATGACCAGAGACTGCGGACACAGTACAGGGATGACCAGAGACTGCGGACACAGTACAGGGATGACCAGAGACTGCGGACACAGTACAGGGATGACCAGAGACTGCGGACACAGTACAGGGATGACCAGAGACTGCGGACACAGTACAGGGATGACCAGAGACTGCGGACACAGTACAGGGATGACCAGAGACTGCGGACACAGTACAGGGATGACCAGAAACTGCGGACACGGTACAGGAGATGACCAGAGACTGCGGACACGGTACAGGAGATGACCAGAGACTGCGGACACGGTACAGGAGATGACCAGAGACTGCGGACACGGTACAGGGATGACCAGAGACTGCAGACACGGTACAGGGGATGACCAGAGACTGCAGACACAGTACAGGGATGACCAGAGACTGCAGACACAGTACAGGGATGACCAGAGACTGCAGACACAGTACAGGGATGACCAGAGTCTGCGGACACAGTACAGGGATGACCAGAGACTGCAGACACAGTACAAGAGATGACCAGAGACTGCAGACACAGTACAAGAGATGACCAGAGACTGCAGACACAGTACAAGAGATGACCAGAGACTGCGGACACAGTACAGGAGATGACCAGAGACTGCGGACACAGTACAGAGATGACCAGAGACTGCGGACACAGTACAGGGATGACCAGAGACTGCGGACAGTACAGGGATGACCAGAGACTGCGGACAGTACAGGGATGACCAGAGACTGCGGACAGTACAGGAGATGACCAGAGACTGCGGAAAGCACAGGGATGACCAGAGACTGCGGACAGTACAGATGACTGCTGACCTTTGGGGAGGGAGGGGGAGCGGATACCTGAATTTGACAGGTACCCGCTCTTACTTCCGCAGAGTTTTTTTTTTTATCTTACCTGTTCCTTTATCCAGCCGCGCGCTGTCTTCCCGGCTTCTGTAGTGTGGGCGCTCGTCGGACAGCCGGATGCCCAGTGCGCATGCGCGAGAAGCGCTGCGCTTTGTGATTGGTCCGGCGGCTTCTGGGATCTGTCATGTGTCCCAGGTACCGCCTTACCATTCACAAAGAGCACTGCTTCTTGCGCATGCGCACTTGGGACCCGGCTGTCACGCACACTACAGAAGCCGGGAAGACAGCGCGCCGCTGGATAGAGGGACAGGTACGGTCCCACTGCAGAGCTGAGTGGCCGGCCCGGTATTCTGACACGGCGGCGGTGGAAATACCGGACCGGCCGCTCTATATTCGCTCCATAAGACGCACTGACATTTTCCCCCCTTTTTTGGGGGAAAAAAAGTGCGTCTTATGGAGCGAAAAATACGGTATTCTCCTGGCGTGCCCACAGATAAGGCTCGGCGTGCCGGCTGTGGCACGCGTGCCACGGGTTCGCCATCACTGGCCTAGAGGATTCTGGGGGAAAGCATAAATACTCTGGGGGTAGAGAGCAGCTTCTGCTTCTTCTTCCTAAGAGGAGATCATTGCCTGGGGGCTCGTTTGCCCCTCCAGGCAATCCTGCCATGTGCTTTTGTTGAGTGGAGGCCCCAGTTGGGAGGCTGGGAGACCTGGGTAAGCTATTTGCTGTTTAAGGCTGGCTAAGAGGCCTGTTGTCTGAGGATCTAGTCTGGCACTACTGGGAGAAGCTGCCAGCACGATGCTGGTAAGAGGCAACCGTTCAGCGAGTACAGCCTGGGGAAGATCATAGAGACTGAGTATTACCATCCCCTTTTGTTTGCTAGAAGGTCAGCTGGGTGTTTGCTACGAAATTTGTCCTGAAGCTATCTAGCTGATCCATTCCGAAGGAAGGGAACTGTAGCTTGAACAGTTCATTGAGGAAGGCTCAACCTCTTCACTACTGCTTTGCTGCTATACAGGGACAGTGTTCAAAGTTCCACGAGTTCTAACTCTCAGGAAACAAGTTTGCATCCTCAGTTTGTTATAGCAAGTTACTAAGCTGTGAATAGGAAGCTCAGTGTAGGAATTTTGGCAATGCCGAGTGACCGAATTCTGAACATCTACTGGAGTATTTCCCAATCCCCATCAAAGTTCAACCTTTAATAAAATCCACCACCCTAGACTGTTTTTCAAGCCAACAGAGAGAGAGAGAGAACTTGCAGGTATGCCCGGCTGCAGGGCATTAGTGAGAAAAAAACCTTGGACACTACATACTGTTTGGCTTCTACAGGGGTCCTGCTACAGAAAGTAAAGTATGTTTAAGGCACCAAAATGCACTGCACAGGTGTACACTTACCCTTTATGTGCCAGGATTTGTCCTCCTTACCAATACAGCAGTAAAAAAGTTATTGCTCTGGGACATAATTAGGATAAGCTTTATATGGGACTGTCATTTTTCAGGCAAGATGTGCCCCACAGTTCATTGACTTCTGCAATGAGTTGACATTATAGCTGACCTGTTATCATGAGAGAGCTTCTATTGACTGAAATTGTCTACATGCATATATCCTAACCATCTCTGTCCCAGAATTTTAACCAAATCCTAAAGTCTCGTTTACCTACCCCATGTCCTGGCACCAAGTGTAATAATGCTTGTTTCAGCACTGTAATAGAGATGCATAACTAAAAGCAAGCCATATACATGCACGCAACCAACATGTAGTTATGCTGGTACCTGTTTAATCAGCATTTAAACCATTACATATTTTACGCATGTGAAAGACCATCTACCAAATGAACATTTGCCCTGGCACATCATAGCATTCACCTGGCAATCCAAGAAATAACAGAATTCAACTGCAATATTCTTGCACTGTCAAAACCTCCACTTTTTTTATCACACAACACACAGGAGGATATATCTTATAGTCATCTGCATAATAACACACACCAGTAAGAGTGTGAGCATTACAGCATGAAATAGACACATAATTTGTCAGCGTCACAGCATAGAATTAATACATTACTAAAGCTATTGTAGAAGATGAGAGGAACAAATCCTATCGGAACCAAACAATGGGGGCGGGACCTATTTCCACTTCTTTTTTTTCTGATCAATTCATGAAATTGAGAAACTTCCCTTGCTCCAAGGCACTGTGTTTGGAGAAGTAAAGGTAGTAAACTCTGGGGTGGTTGTTGAGTGGTCCTATTCACTTGAATGTGCTGTGTTTGCTGGTGTCACTGCCCACTGGACATGATGGGCAAAAGCATTGTGGCTGTGGCATTTCTACAACCCTGTGTGGTTGCCTTTGCAGATTAAGGGTGGCTTTGTCTGTTTGAGCAAGCCAAAAGGTACAAATTGTATTTCTTTACAGAGGATCTCTGCAGCCTTCATCTGTCATTGGTTGTACACTCTGTGGTTTTCAGAACTGGAGGTCTAACTTTTATGTGTATAAAATGATAGATAATCAGAATGCTTGCGGGCACCTAATGTTGCAGAGGACGGCTCAATGATAACATGAGGATTTTAAGATTTCAGAGTGTACCATGACCTCTACATATTTTTAGTGGGTTATGCAAGCTGTCTATCGAGGAAGTGAGGTTTGTTCCCAGAAAGGGTATACTATGTTGTTCCCAAATAAAGGTAAATTGTTTAGTTAGTGATTGTTGGTCTTTGGTAGGTACATGGAGATTTAAAATCGAGGATTTAGCTTCATTAAGTTTATAATAGGAGACTTCCGAGTATGACTGGAGATGGGGCCGGATTACGTGAAGAGATTTGTGTGGGTTTGTTATCATTAATATGATATCGTCTGCGAAGAGACTAATTTTATGTTCTCTGCCAAGATGGGTAATCCCTGTGAAGGATGGGACAGCTCTAAGGTTTGCAGCTAAAGGTTCAATAAGTAAGGTGAATATTATAGGGGACAAGGGGCAACCTTGTCTCGTGCCGTTGGATATGTGAAAAGGTTTGGATAGTGTACCGTCGGTCAATACTCTTGCCAATGGGTGGGAATATAGCGAGAGGATTGCAGAGAGCATCCAGCCGGTAATTCCAAATTTTTGCAGTGTTAGCTTCATAAATTGCCAGTGTATGCGGTCGAATGCTTTTTCTGCATCAAGGGAGAGGAGTATAGAGGGTTGTTTGGTGGAGTCAAGTTTATGGAGGAGAGATAAGAGTCTCCTGGTAGCATCGGGTGCCTGGCGGCCTGGGGTGAATCCTACTTGGTCTGGATGGATTAATATGGGGAGGGAAGGTAGTAGTCTTTGAGCTATTATTTTTGGCGTAAAGTTTGATGTCTGTGTTTAGCAGTGAAATTGGTCTATAATTATGGGTTAGTTGGGCGTCTTTACCTGGCTTTGGGATTGTCGTAATTATGGACATTAACATCTCTTTCGGAAAGGTACCCACTAAAGCCACATGGTTATAAATAGAGATGAGCGAATTATTCAAAAATTCGATTCGGCTGATTCGCCGAATTCGCGGAATTAATTCGATTCGAGGCGAATATATTCGCTGCGAATGTAACTTATAAAAAGGGTGTTTCTAGGCTTCAGAGAGCCTTTATATTAGTGCAGAACACTGTACCTTTAATTTAAATGCCCTTGGAGTCTGCTGGGGAAGAGAACTAATACTGTCAGTCAGTATGACATGCAGATGAGTGCCGTCGATCTTAGAATCACCGTGCACTTCACTCATTTGGGCAGTCACGGGGCCAAAACCAGAGTGTGGAGCCACAGTGTGGCGGTGGAGGCAGCAGCAATGGGAGGCCATACAGCACCCTATGACAAAATGGAACCCACCAGCAGTGTGAGGAGACCTGAAAGTGGCACATGGCAGAGTGTGGCGATGGAGACAGCAGCAATGGGAGGCCGTACAGGGACCCATGACACACCCTGGACCTGGCAGCAGCATGAGGAGGCGGTACAGGGGCCCATGACAGATTATGGGGCCTGGCAGCAGCAGTGGGCGGGCGGTGGATGCAGCAGTATTCGGAAGCCAAACACAGGCCTCGTTAAAGAGCGGAAGCCGTCAGCAGCGTGAGCAGACGACAGAGGCACATGGCGCAGGGTGGCGGTGGAGGCAGCAGTATTCGGAAGCCATACACAGGCCTAGGTTAAAAAAAACGGAAGCCGTCAGCAGCGTGAGCAGACGACGGAGACACATGGCGCAGGGTGGCGGTGGATGCAGCAGTATTCGGAAGCCAAACACAGGCCTCGGTTAAAAAGCGGAAGCCGTCAGCAGCGTGAGCAGACAACAGAGGCACATGGCGCAGGGTGGCGGTGGAGGCAGCAGCAATGGAAGGCCATACAGCACCCTATCACAAAATGGAACCCACCAACAGTGTAAGGAGACCTGAAAGTGGCACATGGCGCAGGGTGGCGGTGGAGGCAGCAGTATTCGGAAGACATACACAGGACTAGTTTAAAAAGCGGAAGCCGTCAGCAGCGTGAGCAGAGGACAGAGGCACATGGCGCAGGGTGGCGGTGGAGGCAGCAGTATTCGGAAGCCGTACAGGCCTAGGTTAA